TGCTGAAAAAAACAACAACAATAAAAACATTATAAAACATATAATATTAAAAATTAATTACTGTATACTGTGTTTAGGGAGGGGGGGGAAAGAGACGGTGTATCAGATTTTAAAGCAATGACCTAGAAAGCATTGTCCTTATCAGTGGGTCCACTACACTGATTAACATTTATGACATACGTATTTCATTTTATTAACGTTAGTGTAACTTAATGGAAATTATTTTTTGAATCCTTAAAATAAATGGCATCATTTTTTTTGTTAACGTCATAAACAGGAATCAAATTAATTGCAGCATAATTTGTTTCGTTTTGTGAATGACATGAATGGGCTGTTTGTCTCCTAAAAAACTAGCCTATACAATTATACTCTAAAAATAATAAAATATAATAATACTTTTCAAAATTAGTGCTAATATTATTATCTAGTTCATAAACAACCAACATCAAATTAAAAGATTCCAAATAAAAATTATTTTATGGTAAACTATTTTTAAAAAAAAAATATTAATAAAAACATCTATTTCGCAAACCCTTGCTGAGGTGCTAATGTCTATCATCTTTTCCAGCTAGCTATTATCTCCTTGTGTTGTCTATGGTTGCGAATTGAAGACTTAGAATGGTTATTCTTGTATTTGTATTTCACTGTAGGATAATAAAGTTTGCTTCATTTCTCTTTTAATGATGTCACTTTTGTACCGCGCTTTTAGCCTTTGGGGATGAAGCGTGATTTTCATATCAACTTTATTATTATAACTAGTATTTAGATAATGAAAATAAAGAGGAGAATAATGTTGGGACTATTAGAATTATGCAAGAAATATTGGCCATCTTTTTTGTCATCACAATAATCGCTCAGGCAAGCTAATGATACGGTTGGCGACACACCCAGGCCCCATTCGAGATAATCGAGCTCTGCTGATTTAATCACGCGATCGACTATTGTCTATGATGCCCAGCGTATGCACTTGACTGCTGACCTCGTTTATCGACATAAAAAACTTTACATTGTTCGAGTCCTTTTCCGGTTCCGGATTCGTACCCATTGTGGTTGTGGACGGAAAATTGGCACACTGCGAAAAAAGAAGCGTCTTTATCATGCTGGTCGTTGGAAACAGTGTCCACTGAAATACCACCACGGCGACAGTGACATCAATACTATTGCTTGCACAGATCGTCACGTACAGTCATTAAACTAAGCTTTCAGTAATGTGGTGGGTGACGGAAATCAGCCACCTACTGTGTCATCCATTGCGACCATTCCTTAAGATCCTAAGATCACGGCCGGCGGCTCCTGATTTCAAACTGCCTCGATAGGGCTGTGACGAGATCCGATTTGGTTGTTGTAGACTGTCAGCATGTCGTGAAGCCGCAATCGCGGCATTTGGAAGTGCTGTATTTCAACTCCCAGTCATTCAGGAATAAGACATTTGAGGTGTGTGAACTTATTTTGGAGAGCAAGGCCAACCTTGTGTTCATTACCGTGTCGTGGTTTAACAAAGTCGGTGATGAGGTCAAGCTGCAAGATATTACGTCCTTCACACTTACCGAAGGGGGTCGCGCAGAGACGGGGGCATTGATGTCCTTTACAGGAGCTCTCTCCAGAATAGTGTAGCGTTCTCAACATCTGACCAGTTTGTTTCATTTGAGCTATGCAAGATGCAATTTAATTATGGTGACTAAGCGATGACGTTTCTGTGCATATACAGGCCACCTCCTAATAAGCAAAATAAATTGAAGATCTGTCAGTTCACTGCAGAGATTCAACAGCGCCTGGACATGTACGCTTCCAACAACAACAACAATATCATAATCGGCGACACAAACTGCCATTTTGATTCCACCACACGTAGCTATGTGAATTCCCTAAAATCAGCTCTTGACACATACGCAATGACTCAGCTTGTCAGTGTTCCGACACAGAAGCAGAGTCACATCCTGGATTGGCCAGTTGTCAGACATGACCGTACAGCTATGATCCGCAACCTCATTATTGAAGACAAACTGATCTCGGAACTGATCCGCAACCTCATTATTGAAGACAAACTGATCTCGGAACAATTCCTAGTATTCTTTGACTTTGACTTGGGGAAGTCAGGGCACTTTCTACATCCCATGACCTCCAAAAGATATATTTGGTTGCCTTCAGATTTGACGTCGCCGCCCTTGAGTGCACCGAAGAAGACCCTGCGACAGACTACAACAGTGGCCTCACAGTCATTTTAGACAAGCATGCACCACTGTCCACACGGTGAGATACGGACCGCCATTCCGCCCAATGGCTCACGCCCGAAATAAAGGACGCGAAGCTGAAGCAATGACGTGCAGAATGCAAATGGCGGACGTCTGGTTTGACAGTGCACCAAAATATCTTTATTGATCACTAGGAACACGTTAATAAGTTTGTCCTGCAGCTAGGACTGAATATGTCTGTCAACTTATTTTAGATTGTGGCTCAAGTAGGGACTTACTTCGTCTTGTTGATCAGCTGACCGGTAAAGAAAAGGACACATCTTTGCCAAAATAACATCGCCGTAGGCGAGCTGCCAAAAACTTTAAATGAGATTTATTACGACACTTAAGAAAATCAGGGCGAGACCTGCTATTTGCACCGATGCTCCCGAAATCTTGCCGTATAACGGAACTCCTATGATGTTAGTTTTTTTATAGCCATTTTTAGAGGTCACAGAATCAAATGTAAAGAAAATCCAGTTTGACTCGCCGAAAAAATCACGTTTGCTTGACCCTCTTCCGGTAGGGATATGGTACTAATGTTTGGATTAAATATTCCCTATTATAACTCGTATCATAAGTCAGTCTTTGAACACTGGTATTATTCCATCCTCTTTAAAGATTCGGTTGTAACTCAACTGCTAAAAAAGGCGAATCTCGACCCAAATGTGTAGTAAAATTAGCGCCCCGTCTGTAATCTACAATTTGGATCCAAGATTTGAAAAAAAGTCGTTCTCTGCCAGCTCCTGAACAACTTCACTCATTTTGACTTGTTTGAGCCTTTCCATTCAGCATACAAGGTGCATCATTCTTCCGAGACAGCCCAGTTGCGTGTCGTAAATGAGCTTCTTTCGTTTTGCGGTAAGGGCAGGGCAAGGTATCGCTGTTGTCGTTACTTGATCGATTGGCAACGTTCTATACTCTTGACCACTGTATACTTCTAGAGCATCTGCAAAAAGCGGGTTTTACCAATACCGTACTGAGATTGTTCCATTCTTTTCTGAAAATTCGGCCCAAACAGTTAACTCAAACGGCTCAATGTCGAAGCAATCTATTATTGAATTCGAAGTACTCCAGGGCTCGGTCCTAGGCCAGTTGCTTTTCACTATAAACATTCAGCTCCTGTGTGCAGTGTTCAAGCACTTTGAAATTGTATATCACATGTTTGCCGATGATACTCAAATTAGCAGTCCGTGATCCCCTTTCAGTTCCCTCATCTTCTTAGTATGACGAAGAAGACAGTGGAGTCAGTTAAGCACTTGATTATAAACAAGCTCAAATTTAACGACAAAAAGACCGAGCTGATCCCCATTGCTACTGCGCAAAAGCTAGAATCTATAAATAACACGCCATCACTTAGTCGTTCAGGTATACACATTGTGTTTGCTTAAACAGTGCAAAACCTGGATGTCTTCTTTGATACAACCCTAACTAAGGAAAATCGCATTAATTGCTCTCATGGTGGGTCTTCCAGCTATGCTTCTGGATAAAATTCAAGAAGTACAGAATAATGCGGCTCGCATTGTTCTTCGGAAAGGCAAATTTGAACATGCTTAAACACTTCCGAGAGAGTTGCATTGGCAGCCGTTGCGCTCTCGCATAGAGTACACAATTGCAACTCGGTGCTAGCGCTGCTTGCATGTGGCACCGTCCTATCTCAAAGCGCTTCTGACGACTTATGTATCAACTAGATAACTCCGCTCAACCGATAGTGGCAAACTCTCGATACCACGTGTTTGCCTTGAGACTTACGGAAGGCGCACTTAAAACAAATTCCAAACAATTGGATTACAATTCCTGATGCTCCCTGAAACAGCCAGACACTGGAGTCTTTTAAAAACGAATTGAAAACACATCTATTTTGCAAACACCTCTTAGTGTGATGTTGTCTACCATCTTTACCAGCTGACTATTATCTCCTAGGTGTACATTGGCCTGTGTTATTTTTTTAATTTTATTTTTTTGCACAGGATTTCAGACTTAGAATGGGTGTTCTTCTATGCAGTTTTTATAATGTTTCGTTTTGTATTTAAATTTGGTATAATATAGATGTTTTTTTCATTTCTCTTTTAATTTAATTGACTTTGTACCACGCTTCGAGCTTTTTTGGGGATGAAGTGTGATTTTCAAATAAAGTTTATCATTATTGTACGGAGAAGTTCTGCCGTGTTAATTGGTGTATATGGACTGTTCTAAGTTGTATATGGCGTGAATATTGTGTGATTATGTGATATATCTGAAGTCAATGGGGTGTGTTAAGTCCATCTTAGATGTATATTATATACTGGGTGTAATAAAACGTTTATAGTTGTGTAATGGCGTTTGTATTAGATAACAGGCAAATATTCTCCTGTTTTTCAATCCACCCAAGACAAGTATGTCATGTTCGGTAGTGAAAACCTGTTCTATTGTGTTAAGTACAGTATGTCCATGGCATAAAGTAAAAAGATCCATAAAATAAGTTAAACAGTACCTTGAATGTATTACATATAATTTTTAAATAAATATTAATAAAGTTTGTGCAGTTGCATTAGTAAATATATGTAAAACATTTACAATTTTCGTTACGAGTTTGACAATAATATCAGTTAAATATATATATATATATANATGAATGCAGTAAAAATTAAAACCAGTAAAACCCAAACAATAATTCAACATGGAAGGCTATAATAAACGATAATATAAAACTGAAAGTTGGCTGGGAGATAACATAGGGAGGCATGCAGTGACTTTTGAACTAACATAAACAATAGCTACCCGTATTGTTGTGGTAATCAATCGATTGTGCTCGGGTTGGATTGGCCGGAAGTCGTTAACGAGCCGCGCGTAATTGTCGTCACTGAGGTTTCTGAACTGATTGAGCTGAGGACGAAGAAAGTTTTTCATAAACATTTTTGAAAATAGCTTGGCGTAGATGCAAAACATAAATTTGAATAGAGCATTGACGAAAGATATGGAGAGAGCTTTGTGTAGATTAAGGGTTATGAAATTGAACAGAGCATTGGCCACTGCTTAAGATATACACGTAGTAATTTGTTTTTAAATGACAGAGCGTGGGATAGAGTTTGCGATTAAGTGATGGATCTGAAACTGGGCAATACCACAACACAAGGAACGTTAGTTTGTTGCAAGTTGGGAGGTGGTGTAAAATTATGTCTGTTTTGGGGAACCCCCTGTATTCAAAAAATGTGAGAAAAATAAGGAAAACTTTTTAATAAGTATAATTATTATAAACAAAAAACGTTATTTTGATTGTTATTCTTGAAAACAAAAAGCTCTAGAAAAAGCATTAGTCAGAAAAAAAAATATTTTTTTTTCACGCAGTAGGAAAGATGTTCGATCTATCAAAGTATACAATATGCTTAAAGCAGCAAGGCAGTAATAACTGGATATTGTAATCAGTGTTTCTTTGAGATAATTTTCGCCGGCGGGGGAGGGGGGTAGATTTGGGGGGGGGCGTGCTCGTGGGAAATAGACGTAGCTAAGGTGGGCATATGCCGTCGGGCGCCAGACTACCGGGGCAACTAATGGGCTTTTATTGTGTTAACCGATGAAAATAGTGGGTTTCAGAGAATTTTTTGGGGGGAGGGGGAATTAAAATGGTCCCCTGACTCCAAACGCTCACGCCAGGGACGTAGAAAGGTGAGAGGGGGTGGGAGTGTATAAATCAGCACCAACGTTTATTGTAATTATCAAGGAAAGCAATATTGCCATTTAATCAGAAATTAGGGCAAAAATCATACATCCCGATAGCTCTTCCCTAACCATAACATGTTTCGATAAGACTATTTGATCAGGGGAAATAATTTTTCAAGATTAGGGAGAGTCATTATGGCGCCCAGCGCCATACATAAACTAAATTCATTCTGACTGTGGAGCACCCAAGGTAATCATTTGAAACAAAATTAGATTCAAGCCCTTTAAGTCACATTGATTGACGTCAAGGAAGCCGGTAGCAGAAATTGTGGAATCCAAAGAGTCTTTAGTAAAAGCGCGGGTAAATATCTCATTATTTTTGTCAAATCTAAATAGAGTGATGCATATTGGTGCATAGTTAAATTCAGTGTTTCTTTCATGAAATGTGTGAATGGGCATTTAAGACTTTCTTATTTTACTATTAGAAGTCTCGTGGAGAAATTATTTAAATACAACCTCATCTTACAACAACTATATAATATTTGAACTGCAAAAGAGCTTATAATAGCTGAGACGGAAAATACCTGTACGATGCTCTTCAGGAATTCGGAGTCCCTAACAAAATTAACCCGCTGTTACATATGGCGATGGATAACTCCAAAAGTAGAATCAAAGTACTCTAGGGAGTTCGAAATTAAATCAGGGCCTCAGACAAAAAGATTCATGTATTCCTTTTGAATATTAGGTTAGAAATAAGCATTGGAAACATAGATATAAGCACCAGTGGTGCTTTATAAGCTTTATATATACTTTATTATTATTATTATTATTAGAGCTTGTGAAATAGCTCAGGGTTAATATTGATATAGAGTTAGAGATGTTTAAATAGTTTAAGATACGTGTTGCGATACACGGTTATTTGATTTTGATTTAAGTGCTGGAATTGTTGGTTTCAGAGATGTGCAATGGGCTCACAAAAATGATATTGAGCTTAAGACAGATGTTGGGTTAATTTTGTTAGGGGGGGGGGGGGGGGGGGGTAGAGATTTGCGATAAAGTTTACGTCTATGTTGGAATAGCCGGGCATAAATAAAGTCATACTAGCTCACCTGATTCTCTGAAATTTCTATGTTCTCCACGGCCACTGACCAAATGACACTTTCAGAACACGGGGGCGTTGTCAGGCTGCCGTCGTAGCGGTAGAAGTCCAGGTGGTCAACATCAGGTAACATGTCCCTCACCGCAAACGTCTTGATGTCTACATGTGTATCTATAATTTAAGTTCAATTTTTTTCTAACATACTGTAGATATTGCGAACACAGCTTACGAACATAATGTCACTTTAAATTAAAACTGAAATTACTCAAGAGTAGACCAAAAGTTTTCCGAAAGTGACGGTTAGCAATATTCTGATATGAGCAGTCCGGATCGGATGGCGCCCTCCTGTGCTCGCCTTACTACTTGATGAAATCACCCAGGTTTGACCACTCTGTCACTTTATGAAATCACCCGAGTTCGACCACTCTTTCACTTTATGCAATCACCCGAGTTTGACCACTCTGTCACTTTATGAAATCACCCGAGTTCGACCACTCTGTCACTTTATGAAATCACCCGAGTTCGACCACTCTGTCACTTTATGAAATCAGTCCCTTTCGACCACTCAGTCACTTTATGACATCATCCACGTTCAAACACTCTGTCACTTTATGAAATCACCCACTTTTGACCACTCTGACACTTTATGAAATCACCCATATTTCACGACTCTGTCACTTTATGAAATCAGCCACGTTCGACCGCTCTGTCACTTACTGATATAAGCAACGTTCAACCACTCTGTCACTTTATGACATCAGCCACGTTCAAACACTCAGTCACTTTATGAAATCCCCCTCTTTCGACCACTCTGTCACTTCATGAAATCCCCCACGTTCGACCACTCTGTTACTTTTTTAATAACCCACTTTCAACCACTCTGTCACTTTATGAAATCCCCCATGTTGGACCACTTTGTCACTTTAGGAAATCACCCACTTTCGACCATTCTGTCACTTTATAAAATTACCCACGTTCGACCACTCTGTCACTTCATGAAATCACCGACGTTGGACCACTCTGTCACTTTATGAAATCACCCACGTTTAACCACTCTGTCACTTTTTGGAATAACCCACGTTCGACCACTCTGTTACTTTAAGGACACACTGGCTATTTAAGAAAATTTCTCACATAACGAAGACTTGTGTCCGTATAGCAACTCGACAGGCCATTAGGTTGGTATCACCACAATACCCTTTATGCAAAACCGTGTTAACCCATGTTGGGACACAAACAAGACATAAATAAGACATTTTTCGAGATCATAATAACATCATTTGCACATTTTGTGGTAATATTTTAAATATGTAATCAGCAATTATCGTACAACATATGTAACTATTATTTTTGACATTTTTCAGAAATCATTTGGTCATGTCAATACCACTTTGTGAGTACTTAGACATCGTGCCGAAGCCGATCAGAAGATTGAAAAACTCTATTCATTGTTGATTATCATTTATTGTTGTTTTACTCCCCCCCCCCTCCTAGTTCCGGTTGCCATGCCTGTTATGGTTTGCCGATTTGGAGGCATCAGATTTGAAGTCATCAGATTTGGAGGCACAAGACTTGGAGGCATCAGTCACCGGACCCCCTCGACATTACCCGGGGAACAAGAACACCATTGCTTGCCCCAAGTGGGCAGTTAACGGACATGCATAGTATATGCCATAATAAAACAGCACCTAGAGGGATACTAGCTGAGACGATTTGCAGTTGGAATTAGGGGATGACAGACTAGAAATCATGAGTAAAAGTTGCCTTTAATGGACATGAATTAACCGTTTCGTCCCAGCTGCTTTGTAAATTAGTTACGAGGTAGAAAGTCACTGTAGTAAAAATACCTATTAGAGGGCGTCTGGTGCTTCCCCGGGACGGAAAGTGGAAGATATTAGGGCATAAATGTACCATCATGACTCATGGCAAAGTCGATGAGACACAGTGTGTGTGTGCACAGTGTCAGATCGACCAGGTGTCCTTGGGCTAGGTTAGCCACGACTGAAACCCAATCGAGCCCCTCGCGGCCCGCTACTCACGCTTGGGGGAGGGGGGTTGCTTTGGGGAGGGCATGGCGAGATTTAGCTCAAGGGTCTGCTGACGCCGTTTCCTAATGTAATATATATATATATATATATATATATATATATATATANCATGTGTTATGTGAAGCACTGTCATTCGCATGTGTTATGTGAAGCACTGTCATTCGCATGTGTTATGTGAAGCACTGTCATTCGCATGTGTTATGTGAAGCACTGTCATTCGCATGTGTTATGTGAAGCACTGTCATTCGCATGTGTTATGTGAAGCACTGTCATTCGCATGTGTTATGTGAAGCACTGTCATTCGCATGTGTTATGTGAAGCACTGTCATTCGCATGTGTTATGTGAAGCACTGTCATTCGCATGTGTTATGTGAAGCACTGTCATTCGCATGTGTTATGTGAAGCACTGTCATTCGCATGTGTTATGTGAAGCACTGTCATTCGCATGTGTTATGTGAAGCACTGTCATTCGCATGTGTTATGTGAAGCACTGTCATTCGCATGTGTTATGTGAAGCACTGTCATTCGCATGTGTTATGTGAAGCACTGTCATTCGCATGTGTTATGTGAAGCACTGTCATTCGCATGTGTTATGTGAAGCACTGTCATTCGCATGTGTTATGTGAAGCACTGTCATTCGCATGTGTTATGTGAAGCACTGTCATTCGCATGTGTTATGTGAAGCACTGTCATTCGCATGTGTTATGTGAAGCACTGTCATTCGCATGGGTTATGTGAAGCACTGTCATTCGCATGTGTTATGTGAACGTGTGGTACATCCAGAAATAAAAATACGAACATTGGATGATAACGTGTAAAACATCATAGGGTAAAAATACGTAAATGTGATGGTTAACTTGTGGTAAATCATGAAATGAAAATTAAGACATTTGATATAAACTTATCGTATATAGTGAAATAAATATCAAGACATTGGATGGGTTTTTTTTGTTTTTTTTTACAAAATGAAATACAGCGATACCATGATTGTCCTTTTTTTGTTGTTGTAACCTTTAACATGACATAACAAATTAATCAATGCGTTGACTGTCGAGTACCTTGAAGAGAAACGCAAAGATCGAATAGCCGAAAGGATGGTTGGTCGCTGCAGTGATGTTGCTAATATGAATTTTGTGGTGAACCAGATGCAACTGAAAAATTACAAATAATCCATTCCATCATCACGATTGAGGGCTTTAAAAAAAAAATTACGTAATCAAAATACTTCTTTAAAAAAATGCTTTAAAATTACTTAAAAAATATACTTTTAAAATTTACTTTTAACATTTTTTTAAAAAAATAGCTAACGTTATTTTATTTTTTGGCATCAAGCACATCGCAATTCAGAATGTTGTCAAACAACTGCTATGTTCTGTGTGTAGCGTATGAACGTCTATCTCAATGGGATAGGTCATCCAAGACTACTATATTCTATACGTATGTACATCTCGTTCCATGAGATAGGTCATTCTAAATTACTTTGTTATGTGCGTGTGTACAACAATCTCCATATGATGGGTCATCCCAAAACTGTCATCCTCTGCGCGAATGTACATCTATCTCCATGGGATGAATCATCCAAAAACTACTATGTCCTGCGTGTACGTACAGCTATCTCCATGTGAAGAGGTCACCCTACCATAACAATGCTCTGACACCTAAATCAGGGACTACTTCTTGAACGCCAATGTGGATTATTTTGTACAACGGCAGCGTTGATATTTATTTTGCTGCTCGCCAGTTACAGGAAAAAACGAGAACAACACATAAAAAATTTTCACAACTTTTGTTGATCCTATCAAAGAATTGTATTCAATCATCAGAGATGATCTGTGAGATATCGTTGGAACTTTCGCTGCCCAAATCTATGTATTACTAATGTACGTCAACATCATGACTGCATAATGGCCATGGTTGATGTATGTGTTTTGTTTGACAACTATGATGAAATTTCTTAAATATGAAGGACATTTGGAGGACTATTCAATCTATGGAGACGAAAAGCCATTACGAAAGTCAGAGATGTCCTAGAGCAGCTCTTTGAAGAGCAAATGTATTTACTGTATATTAGTGTATGATAGCTGAAAAATGAATATGCTGCAAAATAAATGATTGCCACAAATCATTAACATTTTTTAAAAGCTTTAAAAAAAAACAAGAGATCTTACTCGTGCCAGTTCCAGAAATATTTTATAAAACATCACCTTTCAGAAAAGGGGCACAAATTACTAGTATTGGAAAAGTTGACTTACGTAGCCTGTCCCACCAAAGTTCAGAAAAAAACTGTCAGTTTATGCTCAAACGAATTATTTCCAATACAAATGTCGTAACAAAAGACCCATCTGGACTTTCTTGGAGCTTAGAGGAAAAAGGCTTATCACAAAGCTGAAGTAATTTAATGGCAATCTTACAAATTACTCTCTTAAATGCCAGCAAACCATTGGCAGTGTACAGAAGACATGCTAGTCAGCGAAGCCATCAACAACCATGCTATCTACACAATCTATTTGACACACGGTGACAGTACAAAGTCCCTGATAAAACAAGCTGGCTTTTTAACCGCTATACTCTCTTACAAAAAATAAACAATCAAAATTATGGTTTTGACATATTTCCGAGCATGCTAGCCAACATACATTTTAAGCAGCTAAACGAAAAGCAACTCTGGTGCGCAGAAAAGCGCTTCAAAATATATCTAGAAAATTTTCCTTTTTTAATCCATGGACAGCGATCAAAACTCACGAGAATCACTTGCTTTTGATTCCACATGCTGGCGAAGCAGTCTCACTTTGAGACCACACTTTTATATCTAGAGTCGTCACAAACAACACTAATGATAAGAAAAGTACTCTGTTCATCTTACGGGTAACGTTTCCAGGCGAAAATAAAACTCCAAAGTTACTTGGGTACACACCGTTGAGTAGATCATTAATCATCTTAACATGAATGCTTGGAACGAACGTGTCAACACCTATTTTCATAGAAAAGAATACACCCACCAATACTATGTTTTGATGTCTTCTATCACTCTCTAATGCACCAAACTCCTAGCAAGAGTATTACCCATCAGTGATTTGTTATCATCTTTTATACCACCTTCTAGCGAACATGTTTCCATTAGATATAACTCCCCAACAATGCTTTTAACTCATCTGCTCTATCACCTTCTAGTGCACCTACCTCCATGGGATAGAACTTCCCATCAATGCTATGTTCTGAGCCCCTTTTGTCCACAGATCCCCAATGAAAGTGAAACTGCTCCAGCCTGTAAACATCTGGCAGGCTGCCTTCTTGAATGTAAATGGGTTTTCCGGTCAGCACAACTTCCGCTACAAAGGGATCAATTACCAGGTGATCATACCCACAGCCATACTTTTGATGTAGGCAGACATTTATAGGTATTTGTTACAAAGAGATTATAGACAGATATTTGTATATAAGAAGTCATTATGTAGAGTTGATATAACACTGAGCAACGATGGGAAGTTATATCAATATGGTAACTACATGAACCCAGCGATATTACTACGCGTCCAGCTATATCCTCTTGACACCATTTATATTTACATGGCAGTAGACATATCTTTTTGACGACAACTTTATCCCTATGATCGAGTTCATAACTTTACCAACAAATGTAAACATGCATGTTACAATAATAGGACAAATCTCCATGACCATCGATTTTACCTGTGTGTCCTTCCATGTTCCCTAGTCTCATCTTAACCCCCTCCGTGAGGGAATAGTTTTTTATGTTAATGTACTGTAGTTTGTGATGGTACACAGCATCTTTGGTGACGATGTTGATGGGTGACTGCACCAGTCCAGCACATTCTGGGTAGGAATCCTTCCACGCTTCAGGACCTGGGAAATGACAGTCAACCCCTCAGAGTAACAATAACTAATGATGTGTTATTAAATGCACTTGTGACATTTATACTACTATATCGTTAATGTATTTAACATTGGCGTTACTGAAATAATGTGACCCGGAGTCGTGACTCGTGGGGCCATTGTCCATACCGGATCCCCCGTTCCCACAACACAGACCCACACAAATTTAAATAGTAATCAGATCAGTACACATTCGTTTAAAGCTGTATGTCTTAACCTGGGATTTATAAGCAGTAAATGGAATATAACATCATAGGAGACCCTGGGGTTTATAAGCAGTAAATGGAATATAACATCATCGGAGACCCTGGGGTTTATAAGCAGTAAATGGAATATAACATCATAGGAGACCCTGAGGTTTATAAGCAGTAAATGGAATATAACATCATAGGAGACCCTGGGGTTTATAAGCAGTAAATGGAATATAACATCATAGGAGACCCTGGGGTTTATAAGCAGTAAATGGAATATAACATCATAGGAGACCCTGGGGTTTATAAGCAGTAAATGGAATATAACATCATAGGAGACCCTGGGGTTTATAAGCAGTAAATGGAATATAACATCATAGGAGACCCTGGGGTTTATAAGCAGTAAATGGAATATAACATCATAGGAGACCCTGGGGTTTATAAGCAGTAAATGGAATATAACATCATAGGAGACCCTGGGGTTTATAAGCAGTAAATGGAATATAACATCATAGGAGACCCTGGGGTTTATAAGCAGTAAATGGAATATAACATCATAGGAGACCCTGGGGTTTATAAGCAGTAAATGGAATATAACATCATAGGAGACCCTGGGGTTTATAAGCAGTAAATGGAATATAACATCATAGGAGACCCTGGGGTTTATAAGCAGTAAATGGAATATAACATCATAGGAGACCCTGGGGTTTATAAGCAGTAAATGGAATATAACATCATAGGAGACCCTGGGGTTTATAAGCAGTAAATGGAATATAACATCATAGGAGACCCTGGGGTTTATAAGCAGTAAATGGAATATAACATCATAGGAGACCCTGGGGTTTATAAGCAGTAAATGGAATATAACATCATAGGAGACCCTGGGGTTTATAAGCAGTAAATGGAATATAACATCATAGGAGACCCTGGGGTTTATAAGCAGTAAATGGAATANTTTTTTTAAGGGGGGGGGGGGGGGAGCTCCTATCGGACTCTCAAAACGCCTCATTTATAGAAAGAAATCAAGCCTTCATTTGCGTGACACCTATCAGCAATGTCTGGATTTTAAATGTATAATAAGACAACAATTTGACAACATACCTCCACGCTTTGGGTCATAATTCCAACCTGCAACACAAGAACAGGTTTCAGATACTAACAATGGTTAAATACATTTGATACACACACATTTGATACTGACATTTGGTACTCACACTGAATACTAACTTTTTATACTTAATTTTAACCGCAATCCGTTAAAATGTCGGGTGAAAGCACCGGAGAGTAACATTGGATCGAGACATTAACAATTTATGTATGTGGGTCATCTTAGTACACTCACAGTTTGTGCATGTGGTCATAATGATATATTCACAATGAAGTCTGCGGGTGAGATCGGTACGTCTATTATTCATGTATGTGGTCAAATGGTACATTAACAAACTGGTTATTTGAAGTATGTGTGCACGTTGTCAGGTTTTAGATCAACGGCTTCTGTTCAATTATATAAAGCATTTATAATTTATGTTAAGATCTGAAACCAAAACGCAAGCATTTTGATAGGTTGGCTAGGGAGTTACATTAAAATGTATATATGGTTGCATAGGTGGTTGCATTGAAACGCATATATGGTAGTTACATTAAAATGTATTTATGTTGGTTGAATGGTTAAATTAAAATCTACTTATGTTGGTTGAGTGGTAACATTAAAATGAGTATATGTTGGTTGAATTGTTAGATTTATATGTATATAAATTGGTCTATGGTTACATTCAAATATTTCATTTTGGCCAGATGCTGATGTGTACAATCAACAAATGAGTTTCTTGTCCTTTGAACTTAATATATGCATTTTTATGCTGTGAGCAGCAGTCAAAGTCATGTTAAAAATAGGCCCACATATATATGTCAAATTTTATATTTTAAACATTTCTGTATGTATTTTTAAAATGATATAGCTTTTTTTTTTTTTTTACATTATTTCATCCGTATGTCTGTAATATTTAATATTATATATGTATTTACAGTGTCTTTTTGTTGGATCCCAATGTCCATTTAAATATATATATATATATATATATATATATCGTCGACAGCTCTTAAATCTCAATGAAACATTTCTTATCTTAAACGTGGGGGAATAGGTTCAACATTAAATACGGTCTATCGCCAAAAGGATCCTTTATATATCTGCATCCCCCAGTTGCTGGGTGTGTCAGACCCTCGAACGTAACCACACATTGCATGCATAAGAAGAGAACATTGTTTCTTTAGAAGCTATATACCTCTTGACACGTGATGGAAATGAGCAAGCATCTGCTTACCTACAACACCTGCATCTACCTGCCCAGCAAAGTAACTCGCCAATATCAGCATCTGTATCAATACAGTTAGATGTGAGTAAGCTCTAGCCATCTTGAAATGGCCAATGATCTGCACTGGTGCGCCCCTATCTTACCCAAACTGTTAGCCCGAATGCGTCAATGCCTTTGAAAAAAAAAACAGTAACCGTGTCATTTTACTTGTCCACTTAAAGTGTTGTGTCTTTTAATCAGTTTGGTATAGTGGTTCTCACGCGTTTAAAGGATTGTGCCACATAGTTGAAAAACGTATCATTAAGGGATCACCATTAACCAATAATAATCCTTTTTTATAATATTAGATTGCAAAGTGAATAAAATAATAGAGCATTAATGATTTAGAGCGGTGTTTCCTAACGTTGGGCCCACCCGGGTAAAGGGGTGGGCATTTTAATTTTTAATGGAAGGGGGGCATTTTAATGTTGGGGGGGGGGGGCAATTCGAAAATGAGCTGTCTAGAATTTGAAAACCAACCGTCTTGAGGCTCCTTGGAACGCCAAACATAGTTTCAAACATTAAAGACAAAATTTGGGAAAAGAACAACCTAAAAGTCTCTGTTTATTTTTTATTCTGAAACTGTCAATCGTACTCGTTAGGCTACATATGAAATTTCTTTACTCATTGCTAAATCTGGGGGGTGGGGGGAAATCATGCTATAGGAGAGAACTTAATCAAACCATCAAAATCAGCTTTTTGTAAAACTGTTCAGGAAAAAATATGACAAACACGTGAAAGAATTGTCATTCAGTAAAAAAAATAACGTTAGCAAACAAACAAAAAACAACAACAACAAAAAAAAGCAGGCTAAGTGAGTTAAGATTTTGAAATATGCGTACAGTTTGTTCAAAAGCTGAAAACAAAAAATAATTCTCAGTGCAAGTGGATGAATCAACTTTGACAGACAGTGAGGCCGTAATCATAGCTTAAGATATATTGATAAAAGAAATTTAGCTAAAGACATGATGTTCTGTAAATCATTAGAAATTCCCAATACTGCAAAAGATAGATATATATATTGAGCTAAAAAATTACTTAGATATCAATAATGTACCAGTAAAAAAAGAAAATGTAATTTCTTGTGCTGCAGATGATGGTAAAAAAAAAATGGAAATTAAAATGATAAAATAATAAATAAAATAAATATGCAATGATAATTCAATAAAATGTGTGAGAAAATCTTTCATTTTGTATTGTAATTACAGTTCTTCATTTGTTGTATTTTTTTTTTAAAATTAGGCACTGCGTTTCCTTAAATCCTATAACCTATTCATTCCTTATCCTTTTTCCTTATTTCTAAAACCTGTCATTTATGTTTCATTTAGTGAGGTTCAGATCAATGTTCTACAGTTCTTAAATAAAAATATGTGTGAATGTATATGTATATATATATATGTATTTATATATTTATATAACCGAGGGGGCATATGAATTTTCGAGAGGCATAGGTGTGGCATGGAACAAAAGATGTGGGGAAACACTGATACAGAGTGACTTAACTTAGGATGACATAGAAGGGATTATAGTCGCATAGACAGGCGTAAAGTAAGATCGAGTGACAAAGAATGGTAGAGTACGGCATGAGGTGACATTTGATTGACACATAATGGCTTAGTGCAGTGTTTATATCAGAAAATTTCTTCCAGGGGGGGGTGGGTGGGGGATTTAAGATTTTCGTGGGAGGGGGATGACAGTGGCAAGAGGCGTACCTAAGGAGGGAAAACGGGGACATATATCCCCATCCACCAGACTAGCGGGAGTCTAAAATGGGGTGTGATGGTATTTAATGCATCAAAATATACGTTTTAAGAGTTGAGGAGGTGCCGGCGTGAAAATGAATCAATGTTCGTTGGTGCCAAACACTCTAGCTACGCCTGTGTAAGTGAGGTGGGTTGGGTGGTCATTTCAGGAGTCAATTTTTCATTTCATGGAAAGGAAACATTTGATGACCAATGCAGAGGTTGTATCGTTAATTGGAAAGTGGCATAAGTCTTGTAAGTCTGGTGCTACGCCACTAGGTAGGTATATATAAACACTAACACAAGCTGCTACACTATACTGTCTATCCATCACCACTAACACTGGTTACTCCACTAGGTTGTGTATATATCAGTACAAACAATAGCTACACCACAAGGTAGTGTATATATCATAAAATAACATAATATCCAGCGCCAAAACAACTGTCAAATTTTTAGGGAAGAAGGGCATACATTGAGAGTACTGTTGGCTCTTGAGTAAAAGAGAAGGGGTCTTTGGAGCCCTCCCATCAAATCTTGTATTATTTCAAAATCAAAGGTGCATTTTGGAGTATACCTGAATTCAGAATTTCCCTCAGACTATAAAATCAGGGGAAGGAATTTTTCAATCATCAGAGGGAGATATTATGGCACTAAGTGCTATACATACAATTAATTCACACA